TCAATTTCACTGCTTTGACTTTCTTAAAAAGATCAAAGAACAAAAGAACAAGTGCTACTGGGTAAAATTAATTTGACATCTGTAGAATGGATCATGGAGTCCAGGAGTTATCAGGGCTGGGGCTGGAGAGAAGATTAAATAGAGAAGGGGACATGGTAGAAGAGGGAGAGAGAACTTGTTGGTGTGGCTACAGCAGAAATTCTGAGACTGACAAATGTAGACAGTGGTCGTATTGTAGTGACAAAGGCTTTGTCCTTTCCTTCACTAATATACCTTTCAAATCAGGGGTGATTCTGTCCTCTCCTCTCCCACAGATAGGGGAGAAGAAAATTTTCTTGTTACTACTTCCTATTTGTTAGGAAAACACTCTTCCAAAGTACTGCTATTTAAAGAAAACCAAAACTAAGGAAGTCTAACTTGAAACAGAAAGGAAAATTTCCTTCTCTACTGGATTATTCTTGTCAGCATACAGATATCTCCAGTCTTAAAATTCTCTTGGCGCAGCACTCGCCTCTAGCCATCTGCCCATTTCTCTACTCCCCTTTTCAGCAAAAGTCCTCAAAAAGTGGTCTGTACTCACTCTCCAGTTCCCTTCTTCCCCATTCTCTCATGAACTCCCTTTTCAGGCTTCCCCACCAATCCAGAAACTTTTCCTGTTGAGGCCACCATTATTACATCTGATGGTTAGTTCTTAAGCCTCATCTTACTAAACCTAATGAACAGGAGTTGGCACAGTTGGTCACTCCCTCCTCCTTAAAGCACATTCTTCATTTGATTTCAAGGGCACCACTTTGTCTTGGCACCCTCCTACCTTACTAGTTACTCATTCTCAGTATGCTTTGCTGGTTCCTCCTCATTCTTCTGACCTCTAGCTGTTGGGATGCCCCAACAACTCCCCAAACCTCATCTCTTCTCTGTTTACACTTATGTCTTATGTGGTCTCATTAATTCCAAGGCTTTAAATACCATCCAAATGCTGGTAACTTCCAAATTTCTTTCTCCAGTTTGGGATATTTCACTTGAACTTCAGACTTCTTTATATCCAACTGCCTGCTCACCATATCCATATGGATGCCTGATACCAAAATCAAACCAAACCCACTGCCATCAAGTTGATTCTGACTCATAACGACCCTATAGGACAGAGTAGAACTGCCCCATAGGGTTTCCAAGGCTGGAAATCTTTATGGAAGCAGACTGCTCATCTTTCTCCCATGGCGTGGCTGGTGGGTTTGAACTGCAAACCTTATGGTTAGCAACCGAGTGCTTTCACCACTGCACCATTGGGGCTCCTTGGATGCCTAATAGGCATCTCAAATTTAACTTGTCCAAAACTGTATTATTGATCTTTCCCTTCTCAAACCTGCTGCTTCCTCAGTTATCCCTACCTTATGATTCCAATTGCTCAAGCCAAAATCTTGGCATCATCCTGACTCCCCTCTTTCTCTTACTGCCCACATCCACTTTGTTAGCAAACCCTGTCAGGTCTACCTTTGAAATATATCCACAATCAGATCACTTCTACTGATGTCCACTGCTGCCTCCAGGGCACAAACAACCATTATTCCATCCAGATTATTACAATAGTCTCTTAACTGGGCTTCCTGTTTCCATCCTTACCGCTAAATCCCCAGCAATCTTTTTCTACATAGCAGCAGAATGAGCTTTAAGAAATGTAACTTAGATCATGTTACTTCTGTGCTCAAAATTCTCCAGTGGTTTCCCATATTACTCAGAATAAAACCCAAAGTTCTTGCCAAATCCTACAAATCATGCATGATCCAAACTTCTGTTCTCTTCATAATCTCATCTTCTACTTCCCCCTCACTTTCCATAGGCCAGCCACAATGGCCTCTCACTGTTCCTTGACATATCAAGCACATTCCCACCTCAGGATGTTTGAAATTGTTGGAATTTCTAGATAAGCTTTGATAATATAGAATGAGGGCAGGACTTAAGAGAAGTTATTCAAGAATCTAATCCTGTGTGATTTTGGCAAGTCTGTAAAATGACGGGGTTAAATTCCTGGATGGTTTTTAAGGTCTCTTATAGGTCTCAGGTTCTGCTTGTCTTTGAGAAGTGAGGAGGAGGAGGTGTCTTTGGGCTAATACATTTTGGGACTTTAGGAAGGAGCACCTCCTCCTGTCCCCATATCATCACTGACCTGTCCAGTTGGTCTGATTTCTGTCATCCCCAGTCAGGGAACCTGATTCCTCTTGAGTTGCTCCTCCTGTCTTAAGGAAGAGCAGAAAGCTCACAAGCAGACTAGAGCCAGGGACACAACCCCCTGCCCCATGGAAAGCCAGATAAGAAATAAATCTGTAGGAGGAAAGATCAGTGAGATGGCCCAGTTCTCTGGCCAAAGAGAGGTATGTGGGTCTCACACTTGGATTATTTGCAGGGCTACTCTTGGGCTCCAGGGAGAAATCCCCAGTGGGCATTGTTATAAATAAATGTGCAGTAATTGCCTTGGCTCTGGCTAGGCCCAATTCTCCTGGGCTCCAGACACATCATTTCCTTAGGGTTTCCATTGGAAAGTTATTGCCTTCAATGGTTTAATTTGTTACTTTGGTCTTCAGGGAAAATTTTCACAATTTCTTACTTTTTATCTTCAATTCTAGGAATTCATCTTGTTTATTCTATCATATCTCAACTCCAGAGTTCATGTTCATGGCCATTTTAATGAATTAGCATCACTGTTTCTCTTTCATCTCAATTGCAATGTCATGCATCTCAATTCCATTTTGCCACTTTCTGGTACAATATTTTAGATTCATGCTTTCCAGACTATGATATTTCAGTAAAAATTTCCCCCAAATTTGAGGTTATTAACATGGGGAAGTCAAATTTTATTGTGACAGAAAAGGACATTAAAGAAAAAAGTAACCCAGAAAAACTAAGACTTGTCTTTTATCATCACAGTTTCATTAAAGAAACTAATGACTCCCCAAATCTGCTCCCTCCACTTTACGATGTAGACACAATGACAAGCAACACAAGAGAAACAACTTTGTTTCAAAAACAGTTGGTTTGTTTTTGTTAGTAATGACCATACCAGTGAGAGAAAAGTTAGGCTGTGCCATGGGCAAGATACCTTTGGGCACACAGGATTACTTAAGTGCTTATCAGCCACATTTTCACCATCCGAACTCCATAATCATCCTCTTCATGAACTATTTCCAACTCTGCTTAAACCCTTTCTCTTCCAAGTTGGCGTTCGCAAGACTGTATGTAGCCTCATCCCTAATAACTCTTCATTTTATTTGCATGTGGCTTTGCTTTTTAGAATGTCCTTAGCAAGAGGAGAGGGCTTGGTAACCTGGGCATCTGGGGGTGGTAATGTGCAATTTAGTCTTAGTCAATCTGTAGCCACGTAAGCCCTTTGTTTTGCACACCAGGACTTTGGAGATATGTAGGTGTTACCTTCTCATAGGATGTTTTGAGTGGTAGTTAACAGATGGGGAGCTTCAAGCTAATATCTTCTGCTTTAGGATGATAAATGAGAGGAATTTCTTACATAATCCAATTATTGTTACCAAGAAAATGAGGGTTATGACACTAAAAAGTAATATTCAGGCCGGAATATCCAGAGCTCAGCTCTAAATCCAGAAGTAGCTTGTTTTCTGCAGAAGAAAGAACATGTTTAATGGGGTTCTACTGCCAACTTAAACTTGTTCTTTCTTCTATAGGAACAAAACTGCTTCTGATTAATGGGATTCTATCAAATTGGAAGGAGCCCTGGTGGTACAATGGTTAAGCAGCTTGGTTACTAACTGAAAGATTGGTGGTTTGAACCCACCAGTTGCTCCATGGGAGAAAAGACCTGGTGATCTGCTCCAGTAAAGATTACAGCCTAGGAAACCCTATAGGTCAGTTCTAGTCTCTCCTTATAGGGTCACTATGAATCCACTCAATGGCACACAACAACAGCAAAGTTTAATGGGGTTTTAATATTGGGTCCTCGTGGCTCAGCAGTTAAGAGCTCAGGCTACTAATCAAAAGGTTGGCGGTTCGAATCCATCAGCAGCTCCTTGGAAACCCCATAGGGCAGTTCTACTCTGTCCTATAGGGTCACTATGAGTTCGAATCAACTCAGTGGCACACAATAACAACAATATTGGGTCAAGTATTTTGTAATTGACAAGTTATTTAACCTCATTGAAGCTTAGTCTATTATTCTATAACATGGAGAAAAATAATATGTATTTGTGGAGTTAGTAGTAGAATGTAAACGATGAAAGTATGCAAATTCAGTTTTACTACATGGAAGGGGCTCAGTAAAAGACAGTTCATCATTTTCACTCTACCTCTTTCTTTTCCTTTCCCTCATCTTCTTCTTCCTTTCCTTCCATTCTTCTTCCTCTTCATTCTCTATACATTTATTTTCCTGTTCTTCTCCCTCCTCATCTTCATTTAGTCCTCCATCCTCACCAAACATCATCATTCTCACCATCTAACCATGCTCACCATTCATTGCTGTCATACAGCTTTAGTCATTATCATAATCATTATCGTCTTAAAATTCCAAGGCCTCTGTTGCCTAAGAGTACAGGCTATGTTTCCGTAGAAAACATAAAGAAGAAAAATAATGTCAAAGCCTTGAAACTAGATAAGTACTAGGGAGACCAACCTTCCTCATTTGCCTGGGTCTGAGGGATCTCCCAAGACACAGGACTTTCAGTGCAAGAATCAATTAGTACAAAACAGAAACACAATTTTATTTTCCTCTCTTTATTGATCTGGACCTCTTGAATTATAAGAGGAACATGAATGACTAGTTACTGGAATGAGCCTGAAAACCATTTTTTCAAGCAAGACTACATGGTCCTGTGGGTGATTTTAAAGGACATGGAAGATTACAGGCCTTTTGGGGGGAATTTAAATGGTACAACCCATGACAATGGTGGGTCCAGTATGTGAGGACTGCTTTGCCCTAACAGAGGTCCTTCTGTGTGGTCTTTGGAGATTAATGTTAGGACTATTGTTGATGATTCCCAACCCTAAAACTTTATGACTGTCATGTCATACCCAAATCCTATGATGCCATAACTGTCAATTGTCGCATGAACTTGGCTTATTGACACAGTTGAGAGGATCCTTTGCTTCAGACTGGGATGGTCCTTGGGGATGCTCACCAGGGACTCTGATGACATCATAGTACCTAGGGGTAAAGTGAGTGATATACTAACATATTTTTATTCCTGATGTTTTCCACTTGGGCGCAGAACTTCAAATGTGCAACCTTGGGGTAAAGATGGTCTCCAAGACTTAACTGGCTGAGTGGAGGGAATTATTCCTCTCTAATACACAGCAAGGGCACTGAGTGTGCCCTCTGAGAACTCTGTCTTGTGTGTGTATATATATATATATATACCTTCTTTGTGCACTCATGTTTGCCTGGCCTTAAGTATGGGCCCAAGACATACATTCCACATGTTTCCTCAGGAGAGGGAAAGTTAGGCATCTGCAATTATTTCCCAGCAAAGGGCCAAGGCTGCTAAGTTCCTCCCAGTTCTGCATGTTTCTCTTCTTACCACAGACTTAGGGTTTTGGCTGTAATTTGTGGAGACTTTTCTGTGATGATCTGTGATTTTCCTTTTCTGGTCCTGCACTTTTCACTCCAGGTGTACAGTTTAGATAGTCCCACTTGCCTTTCAAAAATGAAGTCCAGGGTATATAGGGATGGGGACATGATTATTGGTGGTTTTTCTCACTTTATGCATTTCACCAAGATCCAAAATTTTTCTTTGGATTTCAATAAAAAGAATTTCAATACCGTCCTAATAAATGTGTCCATTTTCCCCAGTGTGGTGGTTAAGGTTGTCTGTCAACTTTGCTGGGCCATGATTCTCAGTGGTTTGATAGTCATATGATGGTGTGATCACTTCCATGATGAGATTTGATACTATATGATCACTTCCATGATGGGATCTGCTGTGAGTAGCCAATCAGTTGAAAGGGAGTTTCCCTGGGCATGTGGCCTGCATTGAATATAAAAGGATATTCTGGCAAGGCTTGTGGGCTTTTGCTCATTCTGGATCCTGCAGCTGGCTCCTGTTCATCTGACCTCCTGTTCTTGGGATTTGAGCTAGCAGCTTACCTGTGGTCTTGCCTGTCGATCTTTGGAATTTGTCGATCTTCACAGCCTGTAAACAACAGCTCTGCCCTCTGACCTGCTGATCTTGGGTTCACCAGCCCCTGTGGCTATGTGTATCAGGAGAAGCCTCTATCCCAGCCCGCGGACTTGGGACGTTTCTAGCCTCTACAACTGCCTTAGCCATTTCCTTGGTATAAATCTATTGCTCTGTATGTATTTATAAGCTTTACTGGTTTTGCTTCTCTAGAGAACCCAGCCTAAGACAGTAAGTGTCTTTTTCTTTTTCCTCTTAAAAAAAAAAGCAACTATTTATTTTACTTTCGATGATTATGATGAAAGATGTCTTCAGGTAGTTAAGCCAATGCATTCTGAATTAGTTTTTTCCTATATTGCTTGTATACACTATTCCTTGGCCCCTCTAATTTATTCTGTCTCTTCCCATTGGCCTATTTCTCTTCAAAGTTGGAGAGAGTGATATTTTTCTTTCTTCAATTCTACTTCCATCTCCTTTCCACTCCTTCCACACACACCTCACATTAAAACTTCTCATTAGAACTATCTCCACAGCTCTTCTCCTCCTCCATGGTCAGGTTATAAGTGAGGTGGGAAATATCAATCAAACTCTATTATCCCTGACTCACCCCTTCCTGCCATGGCTGTTACTAGTAATGTGAGACAAGTGGTGTTCCTCAGGAATGCAGTCTTTGGCAAGAGAACAGACAGTGCTGAGAGGCTACACAAAAATGTTCTCTTACAGAGTCATATATCTGTATCCAGCCTAAACATGATCATTGCTAATATCCACACAGAGAAGCTATAGGTATCTCTCTCCCACTAGCAGAAATAGAACTCATATAAATATTGGTTTAATATGTAAGATATCTAGGATTCATATATTGTATGGGAATGGGCAAAGCTTTCTCTTCCTGGATGCCAGGACAGGAGCATGGAGTAAATAGCCTGTGAGTTCTTATCTCTCCAATTAAGTTCTGTTCTACTAATGGTTTTAGGGACACTGGGGACTTGGGCTTCCTCTTTTTTTTTTTCTCCTACATTTAATCAAACCATGCTAGTCATGTGTCTAATTATTAATGTAATGATGATGAAACATTTTGTTTCTGCTCATGAGAAAGATGGGAATACATTTAAGAATGATACTACTTTTTCAGATTGTTAATATTTATATCAGTTGCCACAGTTTTTGTAAGGAGCTATGCATCTGATGAATGATAAAATGGATGAGGTCTTTGTAGACAGGAAGTTGGGCTTTTTGCTGTGAGATGTCTTCTGCCTTTCTCTGTGTTTTAATTTTTTCCTAGTTATTTGTCTAGTATTTCTCTTATTATTTGACTTCCTTGTGGGATTTCTCCATAAATTTTTCTCTTTGTAATTTTCCAAAATACAGTTCAAATGCATTTTATTGTTGTACTTAGTTTATATGTATTCAAATCCCCAAGTTTGGCTACAGCTGTTAACTGTTGATCTTCTACCAGAGTGAAAGATAAGGAAAGTTCGGGCTATTTGCTTATCCACCTACCATTTCTCTCTATTTCTCTTCTGGCTACTTTGCTACACTTTTCTGATTATTGTCTTTGTTTCCTGTCTAACCCAAGAGTTATTCATGAAAGTGATTGTTAGATTACAAGAGATTTGGTTTGTTTGTTATTTTTTGGTATTAAATGAAACTTTCTTCATGGTCTAATAAACTAGATCTCAAATCTGTTTTCTTGGTGAGCTACTGAATTAGACTTTAAACTCTCCAGGTTATAAAGCTCGGTCTATTTGCCTTTTATTTTGTCAAAGACAGAGGAAGTGTTACACTTTTCCTTTTTTTCATCTCATCCTCCCCTGCTCAATTGCAGTATTTTTAGAAATACTGCAGTCCTTAAAAATCCTTTTTATTGCAGTATAACATACATTCAGAGAAGAGAGCAAGTCATAAGGGTACAGCATGATAAATTTTCACAAAGTGAACACATTCATATAACCAGCACCCTGAATGAGAAACAGAACATCACCTGTCCCCCATCCTCCTAGGCTCTCCTCATGTTACTTCTGGTCACTACCCCACAAAGTAGCCACTATTTTAACTTTTAACACTACAAATAAATTTGGCCTGTTTCTGAAATTTATAAATTTGGGCTCATACATGTGTTTAACTTCTCTAGCTCAACATTTTTTGATGAGATGCATTCATGTTGCTGCATGCAGTTGTGTGTTCTGATTGTTGTATATAGATTACCATTGTATCTATACATATGTTGATAAACACTTGTGTAATTTTCAGTTTGGCCTGTTAAAAATAGTGCTATTATGAACATTCTTATGCATGTGCATTGGTGGCCAGTTTTAGCATTCCTGTTGACATGTTTAGGAGCACATGTTCAGCTTCAGTAGATACTAACAAAAAATTTTCCAAAGTGACTGTTGTACTAATTTACTCTTTCAGAAGCAGTGTATGAAAATTCCAGTTTCAGTTGTTCCACATACTCATCAGCACTTGGTATTATGTCTATTTTTCATTTTAGCCATTCTGGCATGGTTGGAAGATGGTGGTGAGTGTGTGTGTCTCATTGTAGTTTAAATTTGCATTTTCCTGATGAGTAATCATGGTAACAACCTTTTCGTATATTTATACTTGTCTGGTTTGATTAGCATTATGTTGTAAGTACAGTGGATTAATGAGATGTTCTTCAGAAAGGTCTAGGTCTCTCTGAATTATATTATGCCTAAGGAAAGGAGAGATGGCCTAGCCCTGGGACAAAACTATAAATGTATACTCAACACTATGTATGATCTTCTTCTTTGGTTGAGATGGAAAATAATGCACTCGCCAAGTCAATAACTGCTTACTAAGTTCCTGAGGCTATATCTAGTATAGGTACCATATCTGGCATGGTGGCTTTGATTAACATTACTATTTTGTTGACTTTGCATTAGTCTACTGTCATTTTCCAGAATATGTCTGATGGTACAAATAAGGCAACACCCTTGTTGGTCACCTATGTATTTTGCCACTATGGACACTATGTTCTATTAGCCATTTGTAAACGTTTACAGATTAGTGCTCCCTGACTGCCATCCACCCTTGCTATTCATTACAAGAATTGTGCCCACCTGGTGTTTTAGAGTTACATGCCACTACCTGGTCTCTGTTGTTTTAAGGTTCTATCATCTCCAATTACTGTCAGTGAGCCTAATTCTGTAACAGCCTCTTCTACTTTCAGCCCTCGTCTATAGAGGAGCACTACCACAAAACTTAATGATACTAGTGTTTCTTTCACCAGTGCATTCTTTATTGGCTTTGGTAAGTGGTTTGTCCTATGGTCCTTATCATGGAAATGTTATCATCTAGTGTGTTATCTGGCCTTTTACAGTATATGCATCCGAGTATGCCTACTTCTCTGAGCCTCTAATGTCTTCTTTCACTGTCTACCATGGCAATCATGGCATTTTAACCTCACATAGATGGACCATTGCTTTTTTTAAAAAAAAAGCTTTGTTGGGGTATATCATAAAATCCACCCATTTCAATTGTGTAATTCAGCAATTTTAGTAAATTTACCAAGTCATGCAATCATAATCACCATAAATCAAGGAGTCAACATGGCCTATAGACAGAAGCACCATGCCGCTCCTCCATAGCAAAGACCTGAAAAACTAGGTAAAACAGAGACAAACATCAATTCTGGAACCCTAAGCATCAAATGAAGAGATAAAGAACTCAACCAAGCACCGAATGGAATAAGAAACTGACAGAGAAAAGAGAGCAAGTAGAGATAGCACCAGAGGTCCCTTATCAGCTAATGCAGCACGGATTTGCCATCTTGGATTCCTGTTGGAGATCAGCAGTCAGGGAGTACGGAAAAGCAGCTTCATGGATCTCCCAGCAGGAGACAGAACACCTGGTAACCAGTGATTACATGCTTTACCACCCCCCAATCTTCTTCTCCCTGCTCAGCCTCCACTGCTTCCCAGGGGACTCTGTGCTGCTTGAATTTGGCCCACCCACATTGGCCAGCTCCTTCAGTGCCATATCTTTGTTGCTGGTGTTGCTTTTTTTG